GCAAGTTCTCCGGTAAGCGAGGACCCAGAGATCGAATTTTGAGAGGAAACCAATGAGGTTGGTGAAGGGCTTTGGTTGTTGGCGTTGGGAGAACGTTTTGACCCAGAGGTCTGAGAGGACTTGAATCGGTTCTTCTTTTAGGAGGGAGTATGGATCTTGTTGTCGCCGTAGAGAAGAAGGCTGCTGCTGCTGGGACACCTGAGACTGAGGATTGAGGTAAGAGAGCGAGCAGATAAGGGGGATTATGTGTTTGTAGGTGAGGTGTTTGAGTTTTGTTCTCAGTAAGAGGATATGGTGAATACGCATGAAAATACTAAGGCTGCGTTTGTTCTATAAAATTAGAATTGAATTGGAATAGAAATTTTGTAGAACTGGAATTTCAAATAATTGATATTTTTTTTTGTTTGGGAAAGGCATAGAATTGATACGTAATTCATTTGAAATCCCAAATTCTTTGTTTGAATAATTAAGAAATTACCTAAAATTTGAATTCATATAGAATTAAAATTGTACACCGTAACACAAATACTCTATAAAAATGTTTTGGTGTTTTTTAAATTAGCTAGATATCTTTGAAGTGTTAGTATCTTAATCATAAATAGTAATCATCCTTTAAATACTAATAGCACTGATAGCACTGATGTTATTTACAAATCAAGAATTTTGAGTTTTCCAAATCTACAAGTCTAACATTTAATGTAGGGAAATTAAAGAAATAAAGAAATAAATAAGTAATAGAAGTGTCGTTTGTAATTTTGTTATAGGGTTAATTACATTTATTTTGCTTGAGATTTAGCCAAATAACCAAACAAACTCTCAATTTTAGCAAAACTACAAAAAGACCTTTCGCTTGAGAAATTTATAACACATGCACCCCTACTGCTAATCCAACAACGTTGATTGTTTGAGTTTCGGTAAAGTCAATAGAAAATTCTATTGCAATTCCTAAAGTACTCATTAACTATTACACCTAAATACCATCTTCTTCTTCCCCATCTCCATGATATAACTGACAACCAAGGAAAAGGTTTCACGATCAATTTTCGACTGCAATTTTGACAATTTAACATCAAACTTGACTTTTCACGACAATATATTTCCATCCCAAAAGTATTAAGCAAGGAAAATAGAAAAATGCTATGAAACCCATTTGTCAACCTAGGATACCAAGAATCTTCCCACCTTAAAACTTCACAAAAAGTAGACAAAATTCTTGAATCCGCAAAAATCCAAGCACAAAGTAGCCGGGAATCAATTTAAAAGGGGTGAACTACAGTGTGGTTTTGCAAAAAGGCAAGCAGCCCCACTATGCTTCAAAAATAGCTACGTAACTCCCCTGTGATATTAAGTAAAGTAGAAAATGTATGAAATTTACCTGGGTTAACGACAATTGATGCCCACGCGAACTAGATTTGTGTCACTCTTCCAAAAACTATTAGTTACATCTAAATGTCATATTTCTATGTCGAAACCACTCTCTAGTTGAAAAATAGAAGACAAATTCTAGGGCAAAGCCCTTCAATCTATTGGCAGAGTGGGAGAAGGGGAATAAACCTTAATATAACTTCAAGGTTGTTGGAGGCGATACGCGAACAAGGAATAGCGAGTGTAGTGGGACCCACCCACGTGTCAGTTCGAGCAAGAGGACCCGGCAAGTCGGGCAGGTCAGCTCAGGCAAACATGAGGACAGTTCGTGCAAGGGCGCCGTCTCCTAACTGGATGGGCCTGATGGGCCGCGGCGCCCGAACTTGTCGGAGCTAACAGATGGAGCCCTAGAAATACTCCCTCTCTACCAGGACTCATAGTCCTATAAGGAAACTACTACCCAGAACTCTATAAATACAACATAATGGGGCAAGATAAGGTACGCTATCTACAGTGCTCTATATTGTTATTCTGATAAAAAAGCTTTCGCTGACTTGACCGTCGGAGCGTCGCCGAGGAACCAGCCCCGCCGTTCACCTCTCTTCGCAGGTCAGTTCGTACGCGTCTCCCTCTCTCTTTCATCAGCCCGTTCCTACCCAGTTCGCCTAGCTCGCGCGGTACAGTTCGGGTCTTGCTCCGGTAGTAGCATCAATTGGCGGCGTCTGTGGGAACGAAATTTTTCTCTTGCGAAAACATGCCGAGGACTAGATCTCAGAGGAACGTTGATGGGTCGAAGGGGAATGAGCAAAGTGACCCTCAACACCCTCGTCAAGACCCAATTCCGGAGAACGAGGGGACTGAGCTCTCGCGGATCCCGCCCATACAACTGGTGCAAACGGTGGCGGCGAATCTGCCTACTTTCGAAGCAATTATGAACTACCTCAAAAACCGGTCCGAAAACCATCGTGGCCAGGGGCCCAAGGCACGGAAGACGGATAGAACTGGGCCGTCGGAATCTAGAACGGGAAGCCCTAATCCTTGACCGAAGCGGGTGCGGAAGGAGCTCACACGCGAACAGATAGAGATTCTGGAGCCCTCCCATAGGAACTCCCGAACAGAGCACCCTAAGCCCTACTAGGGGTTCCCGTGGAGGGAGTTCTCTCCAAGAAAAGATAAGTACCTGGTACAGGAAGAACTGGACCTATTGCTAGATCTGGAGGCGGACAGGTATACCGCCTCTCTCTTCGTTCCGAACATTGAGAACTACCCGTTGCCCGCGAAATTTAAAATACAAAGCATGAAATCTTACGATGCCACCACGGATCCGGAGGACCATTTGTTCGCGTTTATGATGCAAATGCGCCTACAAACAGCCGCTGATGCCGTTAGGTGTAAAACTTTCCCCATGTTCCTAGAGGGGAAGGCAGGTTCCAAGGGTTACCTCCGAGGTCAATTCGGTCCTTCAGCCAACTCGCGTAACTGTTCACAGCATAGTTCGTCTCGTCGTGAGCCTTTTCCAAAAGCACCGCACACCTGATGACAGTTCAACAGAGGCTCGAGGAATCGCTGCGCGAGTACATGGTTCGATTTAATAACGAGTCTCTCCAGGTTCGGGACCGGGACGATAAGGTGGTCATGGCGGCCTTCATTAATGGATTGCGCAAGCAGAAGCTATATACCGAGTTCGTCAAGAAACCTCCCAAGTCAGTTCAGGAGATGCTAGACCGAGCTGATGAGAAGGCTAATGCAGAGGAAGCCAATCGCCTGAAGAGTGCATAGGAAAGGCTGAGGGACGACAGGCGCAGGAAGAGCATCGACCAAACGGATATGAGACCTGGGCAAGGTAGGAGGAATACCTTCGACCGCTAGACCCGGAACTGGCTCTTCGAGAAAGAGAGGGCCTGGACTTCCCTCACAACACCCCGGGCCCGGGTCCTCGCAGTGATGAAACAGGAAGGTTTCTCTAGGCCTCCCCGACCGTTGGCCGGTGACAAGAGCAAGCGTGATCAGGGCCTGTATTGCGCTTACCATCGTGACGTAGGACACGATACTGAGGACTGTCGCCACCTGAAGAAAGACATCGAGAAGCTGATCAAACGAAAACACCTCGGACAGTTCATACGTGATGAACGAACAGACCAGAGGCAAGGCGGGTACAAACAGGAATGCCCGAACTACTCGCGCGTACCGACCTCGCGGTTCTCGAGACCGAACTCTCGAACAAGAAGGACATAACCTAGCCGGGGTGATCAATACCATTGTGGGAGGTCATGTCGAAGGGGATAGCCATGCAGCTCGGCGGAACAATCGCCCCCTCCCCAGTAGAGAGAGCCCGAACAAACGATTGAAGATGTATGAAGAGATCATCTACGGACCTGAGGACGCGGTGCCACTTGCCTTATTACAAGACCTTTAAAGAACTGCAATTGGAGAACAAACAGCTGATCCCAGTCCCAATTCCCTTGATTGGCTTCGCAGGACCACCGGTAAGACCTGAGGGAACGATAACTCTCATGGTCACAGTAGGGGTGCCGACGAAATGCCGAACTGTCCCAGTCAATTTCGTAGTGGTGAAGGAACCGTCGTCATATAACATGTTCCTGGGACGGCCTACCCTGAACGCACTCCGAGCTGCCTGCTCGACCCTGTACCTCAGTATGAAATTCCCCACTCCTGCGGGAGCAGCTGAAGTGCTAGGAGATCCAGAGGTAGTTAGGGCCTGTTATATCGCAGCTCTCAAGGGCAAGGAAAAGCTGGTGGCTCAAAAAGCCTACTTAGAGCCTTAGGAGCCCGTGGAGAAAAAGGAGAGGCAGGAGACGGATGAGGGATTGGTCGAACTGCTGATCAACCCGGAACTACCTAATCGTGCGGTCAAGGTCAGCGCATGCCTGAGCAAGCTGACCCGAAGGGCACTAGAATCACTTCTAGAAGAATACGTAGAGATCTTTGCCTGGAGTGCGGATGACATGCCTGAGATTCCGCCCGAACTGGCAGTTCACAAGTTGAACGTAGACCCCAGTGTCCGGCCTGTGAAACAGAAGAAGAGGAACTTTACGCCGGAACGAAATGAGGTCGTCAAGAGCGAGGTGGGTAAACTGTTTGAGGCAAAGATCATAAAAAGAGGTCTACTACCCGACCTGGCTAGCCAACCCGGGGCTGGTCAAGAAGGAGGAAAAGGCTTGGAGGATGTGTGTGGATTTCACCGACCTGAATAAGGCTTGCCCAAAAGACTGCTACCCTCTCCCACGAATAGATCAGCTCGTGGACTCAACCACAGGATACGAGATCTTTGGCTTTTTGGATGCCTTCAAGGGGCATCACCAAATAGCCCTGTACGAGGAAGATCATGAGAATATCTCGTTTATCACCGAGTACAGTACCTATTGTTATGTCACCATGCCGTTTGGGCTAAAAAATGCAGGCGCGACTTACCAGAGACTGGTCAACAAGTTATTCAAGAATCAAATAGGTCGAAATATAGAAGTCTATGTTGACAACATGCTAGTGAAAAGTCAAACTCAGGAGCAGTTATCACGGACCTTAGAGAGATTTTCGACGTTCTTTGGAGCTCACTGATACGATTGAACCCCAAGAAATGCACTTTCGGGGTTAGGTCGGGCAAATTCATACGATACATGATATCCCAAAATGGAGTAAGAGCTAACCCCGACAAAGTAAAGGCCATCATGGACATGGCTCCTCCTCGAAACATAAAGGAAGTGCAGCGGCTAGCTGGTAGGATAGCAGCCTTAAACAAGTTCCTATCGAAGTCTGCAGTTCGGGGTTCCCCTTTCTTCAAAACCCTGAGAAGAGGCCCCCAGTTCGAATGGACCTCTGAGTGCCAAAAAGCATTCGACGATCTGAAGGTCCACATTGCCCAATTGCAGGCCTTAAGCTCTCCCGAGCCGGGCCAGACCCTGTTCATCTACCTGTCTGTGGGGGAAGAGGCAATCAGTACGGTGTTAGTTAGAGAAGACAGCAAGGTCCAGAAACCCGTATACTATGTCAGCCGCGCCCTACAAGGGGCAAATGTGAAGTATACCATAGTGGAGCGATATGTTTTGATGCTAGTTCATGTGGCTCGAAAACTCAGGTCATACTTTCAAACTCACCCCATCGTAGTGGTGACTGATCAGCTCTTGAAGCAGATCCTATCCAAGCCTGATGCATCTGGAAGGATGGTGAAATGGGTTGTGGAGCTGTCTAAGTATGACCTCGGTTACCAGCCCTGGACGGCCATCAAGGCCCAAGTACTGACGGACTTCATAGCGGAAGGTGTCTCCTGCGGACTGCAGGGTGCCGAAGCTGAGCAGACAAGAGAAACAGCTACGGCTGAATAGGCCAGAGAATTGCCGAGGTCACACACGTCAAGGAAGTAGTTGAAGCCGAGCAGACCAGAGAAGCAGTCAAGGGCGGACAGGCCGGAGAAGCTGCTAAGGTCGGGCAAGCCGAAGAAGCAGCCGAGGCCGATCAGGCAAGAGAATCTGCTGAAGTCACTCATGCCCGGAGAGCAGCCAAAACCAAGCAGGCCAAAGATGCAGTTGAGGCCGAATAGGCCGGAGAAGTTGCTTTGGTCGTGCAGGCCGAAGAAACTGCCAAGGCCGAACAGGTCTAACGGGATGTTAAGGATGAACAGGCTGCAAGACGAACCGATTCGACCTGGACACTGTATGTTGACGGCGTGTCAAGCAAGGAAGGGTGTGGAGTCAGGCTCTTCCTGATCAGCCCTACGGGGGAAGAACTGGCTTATGCCTTGAGATTTGACTTCAGAGCCTCCAACAACGAGTACGAATATGAGGCTCTGATCGCGGGGATGGAGATGACCCGAAAATTGGAGGCTGAATCGATAAAGGTCTACAGCGACTCACAGCTGATAGTAAACCAAGTCTTACGGAATTACGAAATCAAAGAAGAGCCGTTGAAGAAGTACGCCGCCAAAGCGCACGAGTTGAGGAGTCAGTTCAAGCAGTTCACGCTTGAACAGGTTTCGCGGAACCGGAATAAAAGACCTAACATTCTGTCCAAATTGGCCTCCACTTCATTTTGCACGTTAAACAAAGAGATATTAGTGGAGGTCGTTAAAGGCCGAGCGTATGAGCAGTTGGACATGGCGGTCATTCAAGTGATGAGCTTATGGATGGATCCCATTGTTCAGTACTTAGCCAATGGAGAACTTCCCTCAAACAAGATAGAGGCTCGCAAGGTCCTCTTCAAATCGCAGAGGTATGTGCTCACGAACGGAGTACTCTATAGGAAGTCCTACTTACGTCCCTGGCTGAAGTGTGTGACGCCGGAAGAAGGGGGTTACGTCCTGCGCAAGCTGCATGAAGGTATCTGCGAGAATCACGTGGACTCGAGGGTCTTGGCCAAGAAGGGGATGCTGTCCAGGTATTATTGGCCCACCATCTTCAGAGATTCGGCCTAACTGGTGGCAAGGTGCAGGTCATGTCAGCTGCACGCGCCAGTTCATCATGTCCCGACTCAGGAGATGGTCCCTCTTCAGAGCCTACGGCCATTCTTTCAATGGGGAATTGATCTGATGGGCTCATTCCCCCGAGCTCCAGGAGGTTATGAGTATTTGGTGGTGGCAATTGACTATTTTACTAAGTGGGTAGAATCCGAACCACTCAACAGCATCAGCAGCATGTCAGTCCAGAAGTTCCTTTGGAGGAACATAGTTTGTCGGTTTGGTATACCATAGGTCCTGGTCTCAGACAATGGTTGACAGTTCGCCGACAATTCTTTCCAGGGTTGGTGTACCGAGCTCGAGATTCGACAGCACTTCACCTCGGTGGGCCACCCTCAAGTGAATGGTCAGATGGAAAACGTCAACAGAACTATCCTGCACAGCTTGAAGACCCGAATAGAGTCCTTCCGCACTAGATGGATAGACGAACTGCCTACCATACTCTGGGCTTACCGAACTACGCCTCGAACTGCCACCCAAGAAACCCCATTTTTCTTAACCTATGGGCAGAGGCAGTAATCCCAGCAGAAATTGGTGTGCCCTTAGGCAGGGTGCAGAATTTCATAGCCCAAGATAATGAGGACGAGATGCGACTCAATTTGGACCTGCTTGAACAGAGGAGAGAAGAAGCAGCTATACGGATGGCCAAGTATAAGGGGCAGGTCGCGCGACACTATAATGTCAGGGTAAGATCTCTCTTCTTCATACCAGAGGACCTGGTCTTACGCAAGAATGCCGTAAGTCGGGTCTTGGGTACGAACAAGTTGGGTCCGAACTGGAAGGGCCCTAGTGGTGAAGGAAGTAGATTGAGTAGGGTACTGCAAGTTAGCCCATTTCAATGGAGAGGAAGTCTCACAAACTTGGCATAATTCCAATTTAAGGATCTTTCGTTAAGACTCACTTACCTAGCCCGTGCATGACCTGAGCTCTGAACAAAGTTAAAGTCTAGTTACTTGGCGTTAGTTAGGTCAGTCGTGCATGCCGGATCGCTCAAGGGTCTGGACCCTGTTCGCACAAATGTATTCAGTTGAGGTTGAATTATTTTGCATAAATTAGATATCAGTTCGCACATGAGTAAGATAAGTTTATTCGTGCAATTATACTATGACGATATGGCAAGGAAGTTGTGAATAAAAAATATGGCTAAGTGTTAAGCAAAAGAAGAGCTTCATTCCTTTGAAGGAAACTTTACAAAAAAGAGCTTAGCTCGTACAAAACGGACTGGTCCTAACCAATTCGAGGCCCTATGCTAGTCCCTAATCTACTTAATTCTCGCCTTCCTCCTCCTCCTGCCCGAGCTCTGGGATGGTCACTGGTAGCGAAGGGTCAGCAACTAGATCCACCAGCTTACACCCGCGCGAATAACCTTCTACCAGGAGGTCGAGCTACTCCAGCGCGTTAGGGTTATAGCTCAGGAATTTCCCCAAGTCGAACCCTGGGAGGTTCAGCTCTTGCACCTTCGCCAGTGCCTTAGCATAGCCGTGCTGGAGCACAGGGGTGTTCAGGATGACCAGGTCGCCCATGAAGTCTTCCGACCTCAGGAACTCCCGAACACCCTCTTGATGGCCTGCCTCCTTAGCAGCTGCAACCTGCTTTGTCAGCTCAGCGCCTTTCTGCTGCTCGTCCTTTAGCTGTGAGGTGAGCTCGGCATTCTTGTTCAGCTCCAGCTCGAAGTTTGAGTGGACCTGCGCGAGCTGCCTCTTCAGGCCCTCCGCCTCCGCTATGGCGGCTTCATGTTGGCTGGACAGCTTTTCGTTCGCTGCCTTTGTCTCGCTTAGCAGGGGAAGCAGACTCTCATATCGCCTGGCCAGCTTGGGGCCTACCATATTCATCTGGTAGTTCGGTTTAGGAGTATAGGTCAGCACAAGAAAAGATAAATGAAGTAAAAGGACAAACAGTTCTGATGGACATTGAAAGTCGAGACTGAACTGACCTGAGCGGCCCCTGCATAGTAATGGTCGAGGAGGTCGGGAGGATTCATGGTCTTGATAAAATTGCAGTCCCGCAGAAGGATGGCGCCGTGCATGAGCTCCCGAGCTCGGTCATTGAGCTTCCATTGACGACAGAAATGCATGGGATGCTGGTGCGTGACCAGTCTGGTCTGTGGGTCGAAGGGCGAGCTGCTCTTGTGTTGCCACAGGTGAGGAGGGGCTTTAGTTCGGGCCTACTCCTCAGAGGTGTTGACGCCATAGTGCCCGGGTTGAGCAGGGTCAAGCATCAACTCCCCTTCCTGAACTGGAGACGAGGTCGTCTTAGTCCTGGCCTTCTTGGCCATGGACTTCTTCCCCTTCTTCTTTCTTGGCTCTGTTGCAGGAGAAGATTGAGCTGGAGTAGGTTGAACTGGTGGAGGAGGGGCCGAGCTGGTTGGCACAGTGGAAGAAGCAGGGGTAGCCGTGCCCGAGTTGCCAGTCCCTCCAAGAGATAGGAGTTGGAAGAATCTCTTCACTGCATTAAGACAAGTGAAAATGATCAGGGTCGCGACGAGCAGAGGTCGTCAGTTCACACAACAAAAAACTAGGGCAAGGAAATTACAAGTGGCTAGCTCATCCGGAGAGAGAGCTTTGCTTTCTGTGGAACGATCTGAGGCGTTAGCTCGGATCAGACAAGCAGCCCAGAGTTGGGCATTGTTGAACTCCTTCACGTTCAACCTAATGTCCGAGCTCAGTAGATGCTCGAGCTCAAACACAGGGAGAGGCGAAGGAAGCGGATCAGAGACCTGGGTCTCCTGTGAGGACCCGAAAAATTATCTTATTTTTATCTTATTTACTGGCGTATTTAAATATTTATCCACTCATTTTCTCTGAATTATTTATTTCGATCATTTTAAATCCATTTATATGGAACAACGCCTCCTTTATGTTTTTAAAGCATTTTGTTGGAAAATTTATTTTGAAAAGCTCGTTTAGTTAGGAATAACAAGTTCACGTTTTTTGAGGCAATAACTGAATCGAGAGTGTAATAATAATTTTGGAGAATTAAGAATGATCAATAGTAGACTAAGAAAAGTTAATTGAGAGATTAGATGTGAGTGAGTTAAAATTAAGTTTATACCGCTCGCGCATCGATAGTTCTTCGAAAGACGCGCTGATACAAATTAATTGGTGATTTGAGGAATTAATACTAGACTCATGTGAGGACTCATGTTTTTATTTCTAAAATAGTTATTTTCATGATTATTTACCCTAATATTAGTTAGTTATATCATCATTACAAGAATTTCTTTGAAATTGCGCTTTATCGCGCACGAGTTGGAAGTTCGCGTTTTCACGCGCGCGACTAATTGATGGACTTTAGAAATTTATTTTTGGACTACTAAGAATGAATAATTATAGTACTAAAGGAATTACATTTGGAGGTTTAGTGCACAACTGAAACGAACCCGAGAGAAAATGGACACAAAACGCGCGTGTGCGCGCACTATTCAAAGTTGACTTTTGCTCAAATTTGAACCACCAACCACCAAGCTTCTCCAAGAAGCTTTAGAAATCAGAACACTTTCTCTCTCCTCTCATTCTTGTTCGGTCAAAGCTTCCAAGGGAAGAAGAAGAGAAGCTCTCTTCATTTTACTTCACTTTGAGCTTCCATTTCACTCCAAATTTCTCACACAAACTCACAAACACTTGGAGATTCACTTACCCTTGGTGGAGGACCTCATTCTTGCAGGTTTTTCTTAGGAGTTTTGGGACAAAAATTACTAATTTTACACCAAGGAGTAGAAGGTAATCATCAGGTCACTTAATTTTAGTTCTAGTTGGTTAAATTTTGCTAGGAAGCTTGTAGCTTCATGGTTATTGTTGTGGGTTGAGTTTAAATGTTGGAGTGGGCTCTATGAAATCCCACAATGGATATATTGGACTGATATGGTGATTATGAGTGTTGTTGGTGTTAATTGTGTGTTAAACAAGTGGGTATAAGTTAAAAGAGTGAAAAGAAAACCGAAGGAAAGTTGCATAGGAAGAGGCCGAATTCTGCCCTGTTATTTTCGTGCACTTGGTTCAAATTTTTGGTGATTAAATGACCTTGAATCTGATGCAGATATGTTGTATAGGATGTGTGGAAAGTTTCTACCAAAAATCATTTGATTTGGTTGGGTAAAAGCTGGAATTTCAAAAATCATCAAATCCGGAAAAATGCTGTCCAGGTGTGCTAGACAGAGCAACTTTGAACTATCATAACTCTTTACTCAGATGTTGAAATCAAGTGCTGTTTGCGGCATTTGAAACTAGACATCCGTAACGGTGTATCATGCACTTTCTAATTTGAAGTGAGTCATCTGTAGTGATTGATCAAAGTTGGCTACCCTGTTCTGTCAGTCCAACCGAGAGAAAACTAGAAGCTGCAATTTGTGGCTCCATTTTCTCTTACTTGCAAACTGAATTTCAAAAAGATTTCTTCTGATGAATTGTAGCCTTTTGAATTTAGTTTCCAACGCCACTAACCATGTTTAATTTCAAGTTGAATTGAGTGAGATATAGTCCAATTTCTAAACTATACCGAATTTGGAAAACCCTAATTTTGGCTAGCTGAATGGCCTAGCTGACTTGAGACTTGTTGTTTTGAAAATTCTGATATCAATCACCTACCAAATGTATATTAGATGTTTTTTAGACCTTTGTTTCACAAATGAGCCAGATTTGAGCTGATTTCATTGGACAAAATGTTAGAAAAAAGAAAAAGGAAGCAAGAAGATAGATTTGTCTGGATTTCCTTAAACTTTGGTAGTTTAGTTAACTACCTTCCTGTGCGAATTTTCAAATGAAATTTGATAGAGGAGTAATCCTCATATGGAAGTTGAAGTGTACCAATTTCGGTGACATTCTAAGACTGTTTTGATATACAAATAAGATCCCAAAGTTACCTTTCAAATCTGGAAAAATGGACCGAGCAGTCCTTGTTTTTAACCAACTTTGAACTGCTATATCTTGATGCTCGAAACTCCGATTTTAGTTCCTCTTGTTGTGTTTTAAACCTTGACTGGAATTCTAATTGAGGTACAAATTTCAGAGGCTAGTTCACTTTTTGTGAATTTTGCCGAATTTCCAATTTCTACCGAAAACTAAGACTGAAA